CTCAACGATTTAGGGTGCCTGGAAAGACTGAACGCGTCAGAGCCCCCCCCCCCCCCAAAAAAAAAAAAAAAGTGCTAGATTCGGCACAAAACGGAAGCATATGATTAGAGGAAAAAAAACAAGAGCTATCAAGATTAGGCCTAGTGTATGCTCGCTCTCCCGCTAATGTAAACACTGTGAGACACAGTTTGCGCGAACGAGACGTCGGTGCTTTATGGCGTTTTAAGTTCAAATGGTGTCGGCTGGCACTAAACTTTACCCTTCAGGTTAGTGCCCCCAATGAGCACTTTTCGTGGAACTAGTCGTTTTAATGAGTGTCCTAAGATACATCTAGAATAAACCGTCGATCTCTTGTTCCCGCTTACGGCTTCGCGGGGTGTGCTACATCCATAGAGCTTTTCGCATCGTCCCCTTCCCCAAGTCAGAGTAGCCAACCGAGGCCCTTATGCCCTTACGTCATACAAGCGCGCAACTGACGCACCCTCGACCTGGTGTGTTTTTGGATTGCCCGCTTACATAGGGTTTGCAACCACCAGAGATATGGGCAAACAGTCTTGGAGACGGACCGCTAGTTCTGGGTATTTCTTTTTATCGCGTTACAATCTCCGAAGATGTACGGTTTCCTGGCTATCACTCTGTTGTCGTGAATTCCACATATAATTTTGATAAGCGTCAGAACAACCGCGGAAAATGTTCGATGAGCACAGAAAGTTGCAGCCCGTATTGGTTGGAATGTTTTTGAGCTTCACATGTTCCTCAAGGATCCTTATTTATGAAGTAAGACGATTGCGAGCGTTAATTGGGAGAGCTTTGAAGACTCATTGTCACGTTTATGTACACGACTACTTCGTCGAAGGCAAGCTAACCGATTCGAACCCGGTGCTGGTGCTCCGATTAGAAAGGTATGACATTACTTCATGATATGTGAAGGGTATAAAAATGTCTACGAGCCACCGCTCAAGGTGCAGCAATCAAATGCCGAGGACTTATGTGCATAGCCTACAATAAACTGCTCGTGCATTCCTTCGCTGTGGAGACTCAATCAAAACACCCCAGCATTCCTCCTTGTTCTTTTGAAAAGGAAGGTTAGCCAGCTTGGTTCGACCCTCCATGGGCCGGCCGAGTTATATAGTAGCCCACCAAAACCAAGTCTACCAAAGCCGTTCTCCACCCAAGTAGCGGTGCTGCCAGAACCAGCCGGAATTTCAAGTTTTAAGCCGCTAGACGGCGTCGTCCGCGCCGCAATTATCAAGATGGCGGCGCTCTTAGAAAAAAAAGTCTACATCTCTATTTCATACCGCAAGCAAAAAAAGCGCTGTGGAGTCTCGATGAGATTTACGGTTGCGTCTTTGACTTCTGTGCTGATGATATCTTTTAACATAGCGATGAGCACTTTTAGTGGGAATTAGTTCATTTTGCGATCGAGGTGTGTTTAAATAAATGTTAAATTTAGTCCCGTAATTAATAAACACGATTCCACGGCATTATTGCGTTAGGCTCAATATACAATGTGCTAACATTTCGCTCAAACAAAGCAAAAAAACGTACCGTGTCATTTTGCATTGAGCGATATTTATGCGACAGTCACTCAACTTTCCTCGAGCCATTTTGTGTTCCTCCTCGACTCGTATTTAAAGTAAATCTATCCGAATCATAAGACACGTCGCCGCCGTCTCCTTGGGCACTTTCCGTTCGAGCCTCAACACAGTCCCGCGACAAGTTCATTCGTTCCGGTTAGCGCGTCAAAGCCCATTACAGCCAGCGCCGCTGCTCGAATCACCGCCAAGGAGGACCCAAGAAGACGCGTAAAGCTCGGAGGCGCATTTTCTCATCATCTGATAAGTGGTCCAAATGACTTGGCTGATGTGCGACGCGCGCCTACACACACACACTCGCGTGTGTGAGCGCACATACAGCCCGTGGGGTTTGCACTGCGGACCGCTGGAGGCGACGTGGGTCGCCGTCGTGTGTATATGCCACGCAACTTTTTTTTAATTTTTTTTTTCTGCTCCTTTTTGCTTTATTTTTGCTGGCTGCGAAAATGACATGCTGCCAAAAAAGTTTCTACTTGTCGTCGGGTCCAACAACTGGCGGCTTGTCGCACGCTTCGTCTGTTTTCTGCGAGGCTCTTTTTTTTTTTTTGCTGGGATTCAGCGACGTTTCTTTGTCGGATGAAGTGTGCGCGCGTGCTGAGAGAGACCCGAGGCACACACTGTACTTGTATTAACGGGCTCCCTTCATTTCGGTTCTCGAGTGTGTCCTTCCAAAAATTTCGCGTCATGTTTTGTTTCCCAATCTTGCTTTTGCTTTCCTTTATCGGGGAAAGGTATTGGGTGAGGGGAAAGGAAGGGGGAGGGGGGCGATTTTTACCCATTTTTTGGCATTCTTTATACCGCGGAAAGGAAATTATTACTGAAGGAGTGCTCCGAGTAACAGCTGTACTCAAAATTTAATTAGAATCCTGGCTTTCACAATCTTTTGCAATCCGCGATTTCCTTTATTACTTCATTTATTTGTTTAGGAATGGAAGTAACCTTCGGGGAAGAAAAGGTCGCGAAATATTAGGGGAGGGAGTGTAGGAGGGAGAGGAGGGGGCGGGCGGCTAGAAGAAAGTATACGTTCTAGGTAATTTACTCTTCGCAAATGTCTTTTTAATAATAAAAAAAGAAACTGAAAGTAATTGGTGTTTTTTTTTCCGCGCGTGGCGATATAGACCTGTATTAAAGCAAAAGCACTCAAGGCCTTCGTTTTATTGAATTTTCAGGCTGCCCAATTTATTGAGAAAAGTATCAAAAAGTAAGCTTAAACGATATCAAAGCCCGGCCATCAAGATCAGTGTCAAACGCAATGACAATGTTTGAATATAGTTTTTTTTTATTTTTGCTAGAGCCATTGTATCGGCGACTGCGTAGGCACCAAGGCTGTATGTCAGGCCGTGTGTTTAATACTCTGTAAGCCTGTGCTTTGTTCTAGGTCGTTTCCACTTGGCTTATTTACTCCCTCGAGCGTTGAATTGAGGACGGTGTTTTTTGTCGAAAATATTTTGCCCGAAAAGTTTGACGACGCGCTTTAAAAAGTTGTATGCAAATGGTGTTGTCGCTGCATATCTTGACGCGATCAATACGTGTCAGGGATAGAACTAAACATCGCTAAGATTGAAATATAGATACAGCACGTTATTCTAACAATATAATAACTCGGATGAGTAAAATATATGGTCAAAGCTGCGCTATATGCTCCAGTTATGGTAAGCTTGACCTATTTTGGAATCGTCTGCCGAATGGTTGCGTTCCGGATTATAATAATATTACCATAGTGGCAATCTTGCTCAACAGGTTTGTTTCTTTTTCGATTGTGTCGCCTTTAGAAATGAGATTAAAATGTTCCGTATGCAGCGTTTTTTTTTCAATTTTTATGTTCCTGTTGTGAAATGTTTGTTGACGGTTGTCGTATAAAATATGCTGTCGTCTCGTGCTGGCTTTGGCCACGAATTGCCTTGTGAACGTTGTCAAGATTACTAGAGTCGAGCATTCGGGGTGAAAGCTAGTTCTCAATTGCTTTCCGCAACATCATGAAGATATATGTTTCCTTGTATCCATACTATTTCGGTAGTGCCCATGGTTATTAGATGGACACGTCTGAGACTCATATTATGTAGCCCTTTACCCGCTTTTGTTTTTAAGCTATTAATGTATATTCAACATCCGTAGCGTCAGAAACTGGTGCAAGGAGAGCAATCACCGAGAAGAAATAAACATGATCCTTGTCCTTGTCTTATATCGCAGTTTTTCCTCTAATCACGTTCACTAAAATATGCAAAAGTTTCGTTTATTTATGTTCCTGATATGTTTTATATATCACTAAGTGGATATACCCCGACCGAAAGTAGTTTTCTTATTTTAAGACATTTAAAAATGTGAAAATCAACTCAAAATGTTAAAACCATATAATTATACACTTCCGATAAACATATTTTTAATACATTTGTCGTTTCCTAAAGCCCCGAAGGCCTATAGAAGGGGAGAGAATGAAATATATTTACGTGTTGAAGGTGGAGGACAATTTCGCGAGTGAATGTTGATGCGTTGATTTTCACTTATTATTTAATTTTGGGCTAGCTTCCCGAGACATGTGACGAGTTCATTTGTACCTGTCCCAGCACTTTTTAATACTTCATTTTGTTTAATGACAAGACATTAAGGGCAAAGCGCCTTCACGTAGTATAGAGTTTAATCAGTTTTAAAGTCAGATAAAAATACCAACTTACATTAGAAACGTCCAAGGTCCGACTTTTTTGTAAGCATTCGAACAAAAAACTATCGTTAACCGTAGGCTCCTTCATAAAATAAGCACCCGGAAAAAGAAATTCAGTCCTGTCTAACGCATGCGTCAAGAGACGTTATCTCAAATAAAATTTAAGTAAAACAAAAAAAAAAACAAAAAAAAACAAAAACAAAAAACAACTTTTTATGTGCAGTTTTTTCTTAATTTCTTTTTTTAAGCGCACTGCGTTCGATTTAAATAGAAACAACAATAAACAAAACTTGGAACAGGCTACGTTAATTGACAGGATACATTTCTGGATACGTTCAGACAGAACACGTTTCTAAATACTTGGAACGAGACGCGTTTATGGATACGTCAATTACCGCGTTTCATACAAGAATAAACTTTTCGCCCACCTCTGGTTTGAGTTTGTTTTACTGTAATCACCGGAGGCCTAAGAAAGGCAGGGCATGGCACATTATGTTCACGCTTCTCGTTTCGTGATTGGTTCTTGAGAGTTCTTATCGGCTATTGCCGCAATTTCATGGGCTGCAAAGCGATAATAAGGCGCGCGGTATTCGCCAGACCCTGCGTTTCTTTATCGGTCAGTGACCATCGTGTGCACAATCATTCTTGGTGGTTTCTTCTTCTGCTGGGTCTTACCGAGAAAGTTAGAAAAAACAAAACACAACGTGACTCTGATCTTCGGGCGCTCCTTTTTGTGCGTGACGCAGGCGACGCAGATGGACAACTCCCTTCGCTACGCCCTAGCCAAGGTGGAAGTTTCCGTGATGGACATCAACGACAACGTGCCCGTGTTCGACTACGACATGTACAACATCACCGTCATGGAGAACCTGCCGCCCGGATTCACGGTGGTCCAAGTGCACGCCGTGGACCGAGATTCCGTAAGCTCGTTGGCTTTGCGCACCTGTAACAAACCTTTCTAGCACGTATCATCAAGACGAAAAAAGTCATAGTCACTGGGCTGTAGACGCATATGCAGCTCCTGATATTTCAGACACACACACACAAAAAAAGCTACCGCTTCACAGCCCAGTAAGCAAAACAAGGCAATGCGTAGTGTAGGACATTAGAGAGCTTTAGTAAGGCGTATAAAGGCCCTATCACACGCGTGTGACTCGTTAGAACGACGTGCCTTGAAACCTCCTAAAATATCTTACTACGAGAGAACACACATGCTCACCTAGTGTGGAACAGTTGATGGTCCTGAGCAGTGGAACAGTTGATGGTCCTGAGTATTGACAAGAAAAAAAACCTTTCGTGAGTGTTATAACCTATAAGTGGTCGTTTCTCATAGGTAGTAAGTATATTTGACCTTGCAAATAGCGCCAAACCTTCGCTCTAGTGAAATGCAGTTCATGGGTCACCGCATAGATGACGTCAGCCTGCCAGTGTTTTTTCTCGTCATAAAATATTTTGAAAGGTTTTAAGCCGGTCGGTCCTAAGGAGACGCAGGTGTGTAAATAGGCCTTAAGAGCAAGCGGAGGCGCTGTACGTTTGCGTTAGCGTTGCGTGCTCCACGGCGTCCATGCGCGTCGTCGCCATGCGCCAATCAAAGACGCAGTTGTGGCTCACGCGCACACGCAGTGTGGAACACGCAACGCTAACGCAAACGCACAGGGCTTGTGTTTGCTCGCATACGCAATACTATATAAGTCGAAGCACATATTATCAAGCAAAATAAATAAGCTGAAACTTACCTAGGATCAAAATTTCAATAACGCATTGTCTAACCCGTATAGTTTTAAGCAATAAACAGCATAATATTTTTTTTTATTCAGCACTAAGATAAAAACACGCTCGCAACACGCCAGTATTCCACAATAACATAAGTTTAAATTTTAACGTTGTGTTTCTTTTTTCAATTGTGCTAAATACATTCTGACTTCGTCGCCCAATATTAACTGCTATACATATAAGGACTGAAAGCGGATCCCCACAGTTATAGGAAAAGTCAATGCATTCCTTGGGAGTACACAAAATTTATTCTTCCAAAATGCATTAAAACAAGAGAAGAAAAGAAACAGCAGCAAAAAACATGCAGGCTAGCAGTATCCCAAGAAAAATGGATAGAGTTCGGCGCTCTATGGGGGCTCTTGTTCGAATGCCCAGACGCATTTTATATTTACGCACTTAGCGTTGACATGACTTTACTCTATGTATAGATATAAAAGATATAGATATCTATTATAATCCTTTCAGCAAAAAACATCGGAGTATAATTGTGCTTGGATGAGAGGGACTGCCCATGTCCGGCAAAAACAGAGGGAGCTATTCCTTGTGCTCTGCCGGTTGGATATATTTTTTCTACACTCAGGCGTTTAAAAGTAACGACTCAAAACGACACTAGAAAGTAGGCAACGAAAAAGTTTGAGATTGAAAGGAATGGTCGGTCGAGCTTCACTTTTAGCGTCGCGGCAGCAGAAATAGGCGAAGGTCGAACACACAAAAGACAAGGTCAGCGGCCGTACGTACCAATGTGTATTTCATTCGCCGTTTGTCAATTTCTGCAAACAAGCTTTTTTTTTTTTTTTTTTTTTTTTAAATCGCTCGCAAAGCAAGTTTTTTTTTTTTTTTTTCGTCAGTGTTAGCTATTTACAGTAGTCGTTTGTTCGACACGGAGGCACGTGTTGTGATTCTGCAGAAACAAAAGGAACAGGAGAACTAAGCTCCACGACAGATTCTGTGAAATATCATGAAAGGAGAAGGGAGCACGTGTATACCCGAACTACCCGATCTGGCCTTTTTCTGCGTCTCTTGCTTCCTCGTGCCTTTTTTTTTTTAATCTTTAGATGTGTGATTTTATTTGAAGGAATGGAACCTAAACATCGCATTGCGTCACAAGTTTAGACTAAAACGTTTCTTTAGAAAGCGGCCAGCATACCAGCTATTGTCGACGATAGCACTACATCTTTATTGTGCTTTCAAGGCAGGACATTTCAAGGAGAGAGTAGGGGGCATGTGCATACCTCCACGGAGAATAAGAGCTGACCACCCAATCGGGCCTTTTTCTGCGTCTCTTTGTTTCCTCGCGCTTCTTCTTTATTCTTCGATATGTGATTCTATTTCCAGAAATCGAACCTAAACATTGCGTTGCATCGCAAGTTTGGACTAATACGTTTCTTCAAAAGCCGGCTAGCGTGCCAGCGAATATTGAAGAACTGTTTCAGCTCGAATTGTCGACGATAGCACTACATCATAATTGCGCTTTCATTTCAGAAATGGGTAAACCCGTATGTTTGATCGCGTTATCATATACAGTTGTCCCAGAGTATACATTTTCCAGCCCTTACGACTCAGGCGACAAAATGACGACTCACTCAGTTGTGGGCAGAAGTGCGGTTTCCAATAGTCCGCAAAAAGAAAGCTAGCGCGCATGCTCAGAAAGTGTCCCAAAGCCCAGCAGGCAACAAGGGCAGCGCTCAGAAGGCGGTTACTGCAATGGCGTATACATGCGCGTATATGATCCTGTCACAAGAAGATATAACTTGGCGAATAGACGGCAAGGACTCAACGAACAGTATACAAAAGACAAATGCGTTCTCTACGAGAAAAGTAAATCTGACTTTTTCTTCGAGCTATAGTTGGCGACCTTGGCTTAAGAAATAAAGGAATAAAACAATCTCGTCTTAATAATAATAAAAAAAATAATATAATTTTGTGTTCTTGCTGACCTCTCGCCGCGTGCTTGCGTCCAAGATGATTTCAATTTCGAGAGAAATAATAATGCCAAGATCGACGGCACCGCTAACCTGCTCCGCGAGGACGTCACCGTTTTTTTTTTAAAAGAAGACCCAGTTTGGCGCGTCTCCCCTGACGTCGTGTGACAGGATAATGGCCACGGTGGTGTAACCGCTGCTTCTGCGCAGGGCGACAACGCGGACTTCTTGTACCACCTCATCGACGACACCGGGGGCTTCACCATCGACGAGAAGGAAGGCTGGATTCGAGTCAGGGATCCCGCCAAGCTGGACAGAGAGAAGGTTGACAAGCTCACGATGAGGGTGAGTGTCACGACAGCTGAATGCTTCCAGTCAGATTTCACGCTCACACGGCTAATGCGCCATGCGAAAGGCTATCTGCAGACACTGTCGGAGGTGTGTTTATTCTTTTGTACGACGGTCCCGCGACATTGGTCATCAAAAGGAATTTCTGTAGATATATCCTAAGCATGTGCACGATGTGCAGTCTGACCTGCTATTTTTTTTTTTTTGGGGGGGGGGGGGGGGAGGGGAAGGAACGCTTTTTGTTAGTTGTAGCGGGCAATTTGACTCCACGCTAAATTTAGCGGGGCAATTTTAACGTGACGTGACGTTAGGAGACCATGCCACGTCACTGTCATGGGATGTCCCAATGTCACGTGAAAAAACGATCACGTGATGTCACAGTGTATTTTTTTGCAAATTTGCCAAATTTGTAATGGTAGCGAAGAGTGGTTGAGTGTAGTCGGTGTGGGGAACTGGATGTGCAGCGCCGAAGCTGTCGTCTCGCTTAATTTCTGGGACACGGCAAGGATCCGACATTTTTCTTTTTTTTTTTTTCCGAATGATCTTTGACCGTTTTAGAATTTTTGAGGCAGAATGAGCACTTTGAACAGCTAATAGTTTATGTAAGTCAACATTTATAAATTGCGCTAATTTAACGAATATTTGTCGCGGATAGAAAATATTAAACGAATGTGGAACTGTATATAACGCTTCAATGAGGCTCATTTCTGCCTTCAAACATTAACGAACAAAAAACGTGCGTTGTGAGACGGCGACGAAAGAACGGCTGACCCGAAGCAGCGAATTACCGCAGCTTACGTCCAGGAACATTCTGGACGAGAACGCACGATGACAACCGAGAATGAGTTAGAACTTTTCTGCCCTGAGAGGTTACAAATTAATGAAAGTAAGAACCGGGTCGAAGGGGCTTTGAACCCCGTTCCTTCGCGTGGCAGCCGCGAGGGCATGCTTCATTACACAGTCATACTTTATCGGCGCGGATTCTGCATAGGAGCGTCTTTGACACAAGTTAAGAAAATGCTCAAGAAACGCGTGATATCTCATAGGACATTAGAAGCGCCCAAGACCACACTTCTGCTTGTCAGAACCCCACGGCAGAAAAGACCCTTGAAGAATCGTACGCTGCAGCGTAAGGCACTCAAGGTTTGCTAAGAAATGATCCGTTGTGTTTGAAGGGGAGCTCCGTTTTCGGCCCGTTTTTTGCACACTACAAAGGCCTTGAGCAAACCGGCGGCAAAGCTTTGACCAAGGCGCTTTGTTTCGGAGAGGTCCTTGTGCGAAGAGCGTAGTCAGAGACACATAGTTGGCTGTGCAAAAAAGAAAAATTAACACAGGATTTTTTTGTGTGTGTCGGTAGGTTATGTTTGCAGTTCTGCTCGAATGTGGTATAGCGTGTGCTGATGTCATTGTGTTATAGATTTTATCTCAAGCTTATCCTGTATACGAATGACCAAGAAATAACACAAAACATTCTTCAACACATTATATTAGAACTTTACATGAATACGTACATGTATAATTGGAACTAAGAATGCCCTTTTATCTATCTATATATATTCAAAATTACGAAACTGTGACACATAGATATACTTTACGGGAGTAACAAAGCGGCGTGAACCACCTGTTATGTGCCGCGAGGAACGAGGTGATTACACGACTGTGAATGAATAATGGATTTTTAACGACGTACTTAAGTAATGTGTCGTAGTACGTACGCGCAAATGTCTCCAGCGTGATGGCATTTTTATATACATTTCTCACTCCTACGAAATGAAAGAGAAAAATGGGTCCTCTATTCATTAAACATCATTTAGTGCCACGTCCATCTGAATGCCTCGGTTGTTAGGCGGGAGAGCCCCATTAAAAATCACCATTAATCGTGTTCCCATAATAAAAAAAAAAGAAGAAAAAGGCAGAGTAAGAAGGAAATGAGGTGAAAATAAGATGAAAACGGGATTAAAGGAAACAAGACATATCTCCGAAAAACTAAGATTCCAAATATCGCCCTCCGAAAGAAGATGAGAAATTGTGCCACTCCTTCCAGTAAAGGTTCGCGCCTCAAAATACATATTCCGCTCATACGCGCGCTAGGTTCTCGCCCGGTCGGGAGCATTCGCTCGCAGGCGCGTGCATTCCTTGTCCGGGTGTGCTGGTGAATTGAAACTCGCCGAGCAATCCGAGGAGAACTTTGGGTGGTTTGCGTTTTGAACGGGCCGTGCGGTCTCGCCGAGCTCAAGAATACATTAGTTTTTTTATGCGGCCCCCGAGAGACGCTGAGGCGAAGGCTTTGTTCGCCCAGACCGTCGCATATACCACGGCTGCGGATGCGTTGGCGCCCCCGGAATATCAGAATAACAGATAAGCTGTATACTTATTGCCCGAAATGAGATTGCACGCAATAGTCTCGTAGGTTGTATTATTTTTTCTCAAGCCCGGTCTTTTTTTTTTCATTTATATTTGTTTTTGCTTCTTATTGTACCTATGTATGCAAATGTGAAAGGCTCTTTCATTTTTTATTTAGTTTTTTTGTTTGTTTTAATGTTAGGCACATTTTATGTCGAGCCCGGATCCCGAATAACCCGATCTTAGCCATATTTTACGGGTGAAGACAACAGCAATTTTACTCCAACGGCACAAACCAGTCATACTATACCATAATTGAGTAACATGTCCACTGCACCACTCTTTAGAAAACACTTCGTACTCGAGGCTAACCAAATCTATAATTTTAAGTTGCTGCAGTTAATAGACCGATCTCACCAAGCGGTCGGCGCATGCGTGATGCCGTTATATCACTAGTCCACTAGAAGTAGACGGCGGTGCACGAAGGGGCTCGTACCGTCTTGTGATGAACGCGCGCTGAGCTCCAGCCAGTTTGTCGCGCATACAGAAATACTAAAGTTCGCTCGATGAATTGCCGCAGCGGTGGCGTAGTCGAACTGCCTGGTGAGATCGGTCTATTCACAGCAAAGAGGGCTACAAAACCGGGGTCACACTGCCTCTACATCGTACAAAAGACAGTCTTCATGCAGATTCGAACGCGAGTCACCGAGAAGATCCGTGCTTCGAATGCCGCATGGCAATCAGTTTGGCACGCGGTATTCAAAGCACAAATATTGCGGTGATTCGTGTTTGCAGACTGTCTTTTGTAGGATGGTATCACGCCCGAGTCCCACTAGAGCGACAAACAGAAAGAAACGACAGCGACAATCCTCAAACCCATGCAGCATGCTCGCGATGGTACCTCTGGCAGGTGTTTATTCATTCGGTGAAGTAAGCACGAGTGATTTCAAGCCTGCCAAAGGTATCCTCACGTGCATGACGCTCGTGTTTAGGCATAGCCACTTTTCTTCTAGAAAGCCTGTCAAATCGCGAAAAACTCTGGTTTGAGTCTTGTCGCTGTCGTTCGTTTCTGTTCTTCGCTCTAGTGGGACTCGGGCGTCAGCAGTGTGACCCAGGCTTTAAACAAATCCATAAAATGATGCGCAGACATACCTTTGACACACAAAAAGACAACCTCCACAAATCAGAGAAAACTATGGGAAGAAAACAAGGTAATATAAAGTTGCAACTACTTTTATTAATATAAAGGATACCATAAAATTCGAGAATCTATTTTGTTAATTCAAAAGCTAGCTGAAGACAGTTACTGCAAGTTGTAATATCGGTTTATAGCTTTCCCAAAGTTTTATACATTGTAGTCCTACAAACGTTTTGTTATTTGTACTCAGCATAAACGGTATACTTTGAACATGTCACTTCAATTTATGATTTTGAAATTTGGTATAGGCTGGACGGAATGATTTGCTTTCTCATTGTGCACTGCCTGTGAGAACTGCAGAAGGGGCAGAGGCTATTATTGTGCATTGCATATGTCTGTAGCCTGTCTCTCAATATGTTATTGAAAAATTGATTAACTTTCCTGCGAATAAATCAATGTTGATTATGACACTACAGTCACAGCAGATTGAAAGTCAGGAAGCTGGTGGCAAAATGAAAAGTGTTACAGACTAAAGTCCCGTAATAATACCGAGCCACCAGAAACTACTCTTCGAATTCGGATGATATAATCCGAATTCAGGCCAGTCGCAATCGGCCAACATGCGTAACAACGACCATGACGGTTTATGTAGCATTTCCAGTTTATATACTAAATCTTATTGTGCCAAAAAACATAGAAAACAAAAACAGCTGTAAATGAAGGCAAGGGGCGAGTGCCATTACGGTAATAGCACAAGTTTGGCGTGATAATGGAAGTGAGTTATCCCCGAGCGAGCGACTAACTAAAATGACAAGAAGCTCTGCACACTAAGTGACCATGCACCTTGATTACAGCTACATCGCTCCTGGTATTGCGTGAGACGCCAGCAGCTGGGTACTCACCGGCCCGGAAACACAAGCTGAAAGATAACTACCCACTTGGCAAAATAGCCGATAGCTGCTACCCTTATTGCTGCGGAAGTGGTAGTTTGAAAGAAAGTACACAAAATGATGTTATCATAAGACCGTTGAATAACGGTAGGGGAGGACGAAATATACACGTAAATGAAGCTGCTTTGACGCAGCGTACTACCGACAACAGATTTGCTTTCCTCATATGTTCAAATGCCGATTTGGTTGAAACAAGTGACGAACCATCCCCAGAGGCGTTCGAAAGCCACGTTGATGGCCCCTGTTCTCATGTTAAAGAAAAATGAACTTTTATCCGACCCATTTAAAGCGGGCTGGGGAGTGGTGATGCATCATTGGTATAAAAGAAAAAAAACAAAGAATGGCATGCCTGGCAAGCTAGAGTTGCTGGTCATTGTCCAACGTCCCCGATTACAAAAAAAACAACAACAACAAAAAAACAACAGCAACGAACGTAACAAGGATGATGAACCGTTATGTGGGACAGTAGAATACACACCGACGACTGGAGCGAGCGTGTTCGTGCGAGGCTCGAGGGAGAGACGCCAAAATTACGGCATCTGCGGCCTCAGTGAAGAAGAAAATCCTTCTGGAAAATCCAGGACGGCCATTTCATCGCGGAAGTCCCTTCCCATTGTTTAGCGACGGCAGAGTAGTTCATGCGTTGAGAATACATAAATACATAAACAAAAGTATAAACGTCAAAGAGGCTGCCCGTCACTCGCCGTGCATGCGTCGCACATGTCACACGAGCATCTTCGCCGCTCCTAGGTATTTTGTAGTTTTATTCGGCGCCTTCGAACTGCTGAGTTAATCACATTTCGTAACACTTTCGGCGGGCCCGCGGAGGAAAAACTTTCCCCTTAATAGTTTCGGAAATGAAGCGGACTATGTCATTAATGGGCGCCCGCTTCTGCCGACGTCTCACGGATTGGCTATGGCCCCATAAACGCTTCCGCCCAGCACGACCGTTCAAATGGGAGGCATTAGAAAGGTCGACGAGGCAGGACGTCTATCACAATGGGCTTCGTGAAGCTGTCACGCGATGTCCTTGTGATTAGGAACGAGCTACTTTCTCTTTTTAATGTGTTTTCCACTGCGTGAAAACGAACTTGCGAGCGCTTATAAGTATGTGAGATTGAGTTGACCTCGGAAATACCCAGTATTCGTCACGAGTGTTCCGTTATGGGTTAGCGGTCTATGGTACAAGTTAAATAATAGCGCGCGCTTTGTTTACACAAGCCTATCATTCGCATCGCTTTCTTTTCTTTCGTATGTTTAGGAATTCGAGCGAGAAAAGCCGCTTATACCAGTGAAACATGTAACAGAATGCACGGATAGTTGGAATTCTTGTTCAAACTATGGAGAAAAACCTTTTTACTTACCCTGATATTTACTTGCATTAAATACTTACAACAAAAACCCAAACACCGTGTTAGCGTCGCTTGCCATGCATGAAAGTGAGTATCTGCTGAATTTGGTGAGCCTATTCATTCATGTTTTCTGCACAACCCGTTTGCTGCATTTTATTCTTTAAGATCTCATGAGCATTGGAGCGTTGCGTTTTCACACAGATACAAAAACGTTTATGACTGCATTACGTACATATAAAAACTTGCCGTTTAATATCATAGTGACAACAGTATTTCTCCTTAGCTTCCACTTCTTTTCATGGGAGCTTAAGTGTTTCTAGGGTACACGAAAAAACACTCGTAGAACAATTCACACTATACACGATGTTCTTGATTTCATGGCTCCTATAAAAGGATTATAGATATTTTAACACGCAATGCGTCTTATCAGCCGCTTCTCATGGAGTTCTGTAACGCTAGGCTTTAAACCGACTCCGAAAAGCGTTACGCCCATAAGGCGCCATATAAAAATACTTCAGTCCCCGGCAGAATTTCAACTCACCACTCTTAAACTGTTAGCCAAGTTCTTTGCCGACCGAGCTATCCAAGGGTCGTTGGCTTCAATCACGCAAAAGCAAACTCTTTAGTGCTGCACAGGGAGGGGTGGTCGCGCGCTTCGAGACCTTTCCTGCTATGCTGGGCAATCTCACGGCCTGTGTCAAAAATGGGAGCGAATATTCGGTAGGCGATAACATTCAGACTTCCTTCTCTTCCTGCCTGGAAAGCCTGTCACATGCTGTGCCACCGGTCTTCGTCCAGCATGACCCAGCTTGTGTAGTCTTTTTTTTTTAATATAACATCTACGACATTGCAGAATGAGTTTCTTTTGAATAAATAAAATTTATTGGTCGCGGAATGACGCCTTGCCATTGACGACTTGCGCGACGCAGGTCTTGGCACTTGAGCGGAAGCCGAACGTGAACCCGGATGCCAAGGCCAGCACAGCCGTGGTGGAAGTGTCTCTTCTGGATGCCAACGACAACAACCCCCAGTTCTTGCCCGAGGGTGTCTACATCTTCAGCGTCACAGAGACCGATCCTCCTGGAACCGTCATCGGATCGGTGAGTGTCTTAAATTGCGTCACTGTTAATCGCGGTGTTATTTAGTTAAAAAAAAAAAAGAGCAAAACGATGAAGAGTTTTTTCCAGAATCGTCACCGAGCTCACTTCTGTGAAGGCCGAGAGGCTACGTCTGAAGTTTTTAAAGCTGAAAAAACACACAAACACACACTCACGCACGACCGCGCGCACACACACACACACACATACAGATACACACACACCCTCAAAAACAAATCTAAGGAGGTTTTACATTCCTCACTCACTCAGGTTTTCACTGAACTTTCCAGCTAAAAAAAAAAAAAATTGAATGTTATACGATATTCTAACCTGAAATGTTGAGCGTTTTGGCAAAGCGATTATGTATAAACAAAAGAAAGCCACAGACGGACAAAACAGACGACACAGCTTACCGGTAAGTGTGCGCCTCTCCATAAAGCCCGTGCCAAAAGAGAATGTCTCTTCAACACTCATCAAGTCCACGTATTTTTTTATGCTAAACATGTTCTTCCTGAATTGGCGTCTCAGCGGCGTGTGTCACTTGTGGAATGGCTCAACCTAAAGTTTTGTCACTTGCTAACTACTTGCGCAAACTGCACTTGCTTCTGTAATGTGCAATCTGTAGCGAATGTAGCCGCTGCCATTTGCTTACCATGGGATTTAAGGAGCGGCTAGACGGGCACTAACCAGTAATGAATACCTAATAGAAAACAACTATGCCTCATTATATTTCCCGCTTCCGGGTTCATAGGGAAGCGGATGCTGGTTATTCATCCATTAGTTCTACTCAACTGGGAATGCTACCTCTACGAATAGAGAATATTCTGAACTAGAGCGCAGTTACGGGAAGATTTATTCGGCACGCGCCAGGGGAGGTTGGGGTTCAAATCTCTGGAATTAATTGGGAAGCTATTTCAGAGCAGTACAGTCTACTAATGGGACTACCGGCATAGCACAGCATGCTAGTTTGAAACTGGTTTACAGAGTATGGGCGGAAACATCGTAAATCTTTACTTCCAGCGTAAACAGGCCTCAATTCTCAACATTAATAGAATGGTGCTAACTGCACAAAGACGAAGAGGCACAGATGTGACAAGACCGCTCGTGTCATTTGTGTGCCTCTTCGTCCTTGTTCAGTTTGCGCTATCTTATAACTGTCGAGTATATGAACCAAGTAGCCCAAACAAAATTCGTGTTACTAAACTTCTAATATATGCGAAGTGTGGCACAATGTGCTTTTAGGAGAGCAAGTATTTTAAAACGCGTCATTGGCACTTCGGAACTCAAGCAGGGGCACGCCACTAGCAACACAAAGAGCGCGCAGAGAGCGCGCGATGACGAAGCAGCCATGCACGCGCTGTCATTTGTTCGGACCGGGGGAAAACACAAGCACGTGGGCGCATTTGGAGTGTAAATATACGCACGAGCTGCGCGAGAAGCGAACACACTTGCATGCTGTATATTGATCCCAAAAAATCGGTTCATTCTTATAAAATAAACATTTAGCATCAATAGTGTTTAATGGTCGCATTAAGAAGAAACATATTGTAATATATAATACACGCCAGAGAAACAATAGAAAACGGAGGTGGAAGATTGGAATAGAGGATGTCTTGCATATAAACAAACGTAAGGGAGAGGTCAGGTAAACCTGGTCGAAGCTGCACCCAACTGTACTTAAAATTTGTAATGCCGCTCCGCAAATTATAAAAAAAAAAAAAAAAAAAAAGTTTCGAGCAGATGTGTTTATGGCGCTCTACGCACATAAGCGCAGTTCTGACGTGATTTCCAGACGTTAGACTGAAATCTGTCGCGTGAGATATATGCGACAGTTTTTGACACATACGTACTTTTGTGGCAAAACTTAATCTCACTTTCACTGCGCAGTGTGGACTCAGTAAAATGCACATTTCTACAAGCTCTATGCCCATTATTGAAATTAATAGAAGGAAGGACACAATTAAGACATGGTAAATCGCCGTTTAATATATTGCGGAATATTTTCTGTTGCAAAGGAGGCACATATCTAAAATTATGCACACGCGCACTCAGCACTGCTTCTGAACTGTGACATATATTAGTAATATTTTCACCGGTGCTGCCATGTCACTGGGGCTCAGAAAGTGATGATTTTTTTAACGGCAAAGCAACGCACTGCACGTTTTTTTTAATGCTTATAATGCCTGCTCGAAAAAAGTGCTCTCGATTTTAAAGATATGAATCAGTTTCTGGTCAAGAGCACTTATGCTCGACAATATTTACCTTTTAGTTCTAGATTACCAAGATATTAATTTAAGCGATCGTCTTTTTTCGCACCCCTAAATTTGTTTAATTTACCACCTCTCTAGGCATTCTAATTCTGCCATCCGTTCAGCTCATGTATTTAACTGACCCCATAACTGACTAGTTTGGTCTCGAGAACCATGTGTAGCACCTAATTTGCTTAAGTTCAACTCGCCAATTCAGTATTTACGCGCACGTGCCGTAGATCTGTGATTACTACTCAAAATAAAGGAAGGCTGAAAACAACTAGAAGATGGTTATTTTCTATGTTCGTCAATCGTAGAGCACACAAGTGTGAAAACTACCGTATCAGTTCCAATTTAAGCAAATATATTAACTCAGATTCGAGTTAACATGCACCGACACTACCGGTGACCAACCTTTAATCGTCTGTAACGGTTCGCGTCGAATATTCGAGTGCGAGCTGGAGCCGCCGTGTAATATACTCCTGATGCAAAATATCGCGCCCAAAATATGGTAATCGCTCCGGATCCGACACAGTTTGATTATGAATAATATCTAAATCTCTCGCATTAGACGGGCAATTTACATATTTTTGTCGACCTCGCGAGGCCAGATTGAACGTTGAACCGCGAATCAATCGATCAGCTGGATGTTCTTAACTCCAAATATAAATTAAAAATCAAAGTAGGAAGACAACACAAACTGTAGTCTTATAAAGTAATATCATGTTTAAAGGAACCACCCCCGATGTATAAGGTGCTAGATCATCTAGTAAAACCGGCTTTAAAGAAATTTTGACAGCAAAAAATGTCAGGCACAGAAGAGAGAGAGAGAGAGAAAAAAAAGAAAAGGTTAGAAAATATTTGGTGGCCTATTTAGTGGCGGGAAGAACACCACCCGCATTTTTTTTAATCCAGTCGTTGGAGCTGTCAAAAGTAGTAATTCGTCAAGTAGCCGTCAAAACAGCCAAATTCTATTTTGAAGCCATTCAGACAACGACTTGGTTCTTGTCTAGAGTACGTCTCACAGAATGAAACAAAGAGCAAAGAGATGGATATAATAACGCAAATAACGGTTGGTCGATTCTTGAGGAGGCCTAAAGAAAACAAGACAAAATCCACCCGTCTCGGCAAACAATCAACCAAGGTTATTGTTTCTCAGTGTCAAACAAAGGGTCGTTATACCTTTGCGAAGCTATCAATGGGGGGGCCGTGTCAATGAACAGCAAAGAAAGAAAGTAGGTCTCCCCTTGCTATTGGGATCTCCCTCAAAGAGTTGTCACTGCGCTAAGGTCAAGGAGAAAAGATCGACGCCGAGAAACTATCAATGGGCGTACGCGACACACCGTTCTAAATATAGGTCGAGGTACAAAAAGAGCTCTCTGTAATACAATAGGACCATGCGATACATTTGAGGTTGGCCCAGCTTTGAAAAACACCTGCACTCGCTGTCCTTATGTTGAGCTAGACTTGCCACACCACCTTTGGAACCATACACTTTGAGCCGATCATTTTTCGACGTATTTTGTATCAAGGATAATGCAAATAGCTAAAAATAACACTGGATTATTGAACAAAAAACAGGAATGAGTTAACCAAAATAAAATTTGAGCTCTGTTCGGCGCGTGGGCGGTCAAAGTTTGTTAATTCTTCCAATACTTCAGTCGACGAATGCACGCATCATTAATGAGTGGGAATGGTATTCCTATCCGAAACTATCTTGATAATTTTCGATAAGTAAAAAAAACAAACAAAAAACGTATTGCAGAAGGTTGGAACCCGCTCAATGTTTAAAGTATTTTTATCGTATCGTGGCCTAACTGAAACTTAATTTGAAGACGTGATTCAATCGTAATCTATCACGTTATATATTTTGATCATCAGTCACAAGGCGCACTATGTGTATCCGGTTGAGACAAATCAATGTGAACTTTGGCTCCATAATGACATTCCCGATAAAAGTTCGTTTGGATGGAGGGATCGGTGACTGAGTTTAACCGATCGCTCCATCCTAGCGCACCGCAACTGGAAGCACATGAAAAAAAGAAAACGCTCGCTTTGTCGAAATTAAGCCACGGATTCTAGGATCAAACCGAACCCCGTGCCCATTCGAATTTAAATGTGGTTTGTAACGTCTGGTCTTGTACTGGTACTGCATAGTGAACGTTAAATACACCGAGATATTCCCGCAACACCAGGTTGCGGGAACACGCCACCTCACTCAAATCAACTCCAGCGGGGCATCTCGCAGTACATGTTAGAGACTGTAAATGCCAACCGATCCTGACATAAACCAAAATCCTACGACGGTTCCGAGATAAAACTTCACGAGAAATATACGGGGCCTTAACCATCAAGGAAAAGGAAGACGCTTGTGTAAGTGCACCATCGGTGGCATTAACTGACAAAGAATTATTTTACCTTCGGTTGCCAACTTGAGGTTGATTCAGCGGGAATTTCCAGCCTTGTCAACCTGTTCTTTCTTTAAGCTATAGTATTTTTCTTAATTTTCAATATATTCCCCGGATTTAGTTTAGTTACGCTGTCCCCTTTCTTTTATTTTATATTCTTTGCTTTTTGTTTATACCTTTCAATTTTCTCCTTTTATTATAAATCTTCTTTCTTCCTTTCTTCGGTGTATTTATATGCTGCTTCCTTCTCTTCTTTTCTATTAAACGCCAGTTGTGAGTTACGGCTTGTCCTGTCTACATGTTCTATCCCTTGTTCTTTGTCTAACCTTTACGCTATTTAATTTTTTATATCGTGCATATCCAACTGGCCCACCTCAATATCTTTGTACATCAGGGTAGTAGTCGTACGGCACCAACTAGTTTCTAATTTACAAGACTGTAAATGAAAAATGTAGGCGGTGTCTCCATACCGACCGGGCGCCAGAAGAAAAAAAAAACATTTCCTAAAAAAAAGTCGATTTTAAAAAATTACCTATTCGCATTCGCCAACGTCTAGGGCGTATTCCCTGAAAGTTTCATGGGTTTACACCACATAATATTATTTTTATAAATTATTTTTAATCCATCGATGCTAAAGAAAACCACGTTTGAGCACGTCGAACGTGGTCTTCTCTGTTATACTTCTCGGCATAAATTTTGCGTAATAAATCAATCGTTTCAGTATGAAACTATCGAGAGACTTAACATTTGCGGCACATATGCCGAAATTTTAAGGAGCCGGTTACTTTGAACTTAGATTTTGCATTTTCATGTCCCTTTGTCATAAAAGATTGTTATATACAGAACTTGATAAATATAAAAAAGAACAAAAACAAACATGGTTTTTTTATACATTTTTTGTAACCGGCAACAGGTATTCCAGTATGCATTCCATCAGAAAAATATGTGGTTGTCAACACCATTTCTCAACGATAGATTCACTGAGCAGATTTCATGTAAACCTGTGCTTTACTTCGTTCTGGAGGTATAGTACCTCATAAAATTGGTTCACAGGGCTGAAACTTTGCATGCCCTCCACCTATATGGCTACAAACAACACCTGCAAATATCACTACGATTGAGTGAGCGGTTTAAATGTTGGCACTCCCAGGTGGTGTCCCCCCCTTTAACCTCAAACACATTATTGGATGTTATTTGAACTCTTGGCGGTGCTTGCTACCTTAAAAGTTTTAATTAAAAAGAGCCGACTTCTCTATCATGCTGTCGGCCATTTTACCCCTCAGGCCCATAACCCAAGGATCAAGGTAATCATAAACCGCAACGTAACAAAGACCGAGTCGGTAGGAATAAAATTGGCGCTTTTATGTCAAGGCCCACGAAGAGACAATGAAACAGATGTATGTGGAAACGAAGGATGATTACGGATGCGCATGGCATTACAACATTCCTTGCCGAGCCGTTCTGGACTTCGAGGATTTCTTAGTTGCACAATCCCGCTACCACGTAACAAACACCGTAAAAGTTTGAAGCTCGGAAATTATCGCGCACAGCTACTAACAATTGTACGGAAACCACTGACCGCAAATGTCATCACAAAGCCTCGTAAGGAAGCATGCATGTCTACAAATATACCGATCAAGTTGCTATTGAAGCTTAACTAGCTTCCGTTTCCTTTATGGCAAGCTGTTGCGTTTTTTAATCCTGAGAATTATCTTTTCTGTTCTATACTGAATAGAATATGTTGTTTATGCGGCCCTCTCGAGGTGAATGCTGCCGATTACGTAAGAAACACGGGGCGCGGCTTAGTGTGTTCACACTTGCTACTTCATGACTTGTTCTTCGGCAAGCATCAAAGAGATGCTTGCCGAAGAACAAAAGGAGGGGACGACGTCTCAAACTCAGCTGAGTTTGAGACGTCGTCCTGTCCTTTTCTGTTCCTTCGACTTATATGTTCATTTCTGCCCCAGTCTCAGGTTTACTCGACATGGTTTAGACCATTTTTGTGAAGGACGCGCGCCCAGAGCTAACTACTAGAGCAACCGTCATCAACACTAAGAGCATTTTTTTTACACATTCTTGCATAATTCTTAGATGGTCAATCACTGTGAAGATCGAACGAATACTAAAAAAACGACGAAGCTCAACTAATACGATTAGACCTGATAAATGGGATTCTATAGAGACAACCAGCATTTCCTTTTCATTCGCTCACGTTCCCTGCTCGCATGACATTTTTTTCCCATCTGATCGTATTATCAGCTGCTGTTCGGCATGATTAACTCTCTCCGTGTTCCACACGAAAGCGAACTGACATAGTAATTTTTTTAGAGTGTGAACTGTGGGCCTGACAACACTGAGAGTTTCGCCATTTTAATGTTTGCTTAGTGGTCTGGCATCACTGAGAGTTTCGCCATTTTAACGTTGGCAAGCGTCACCGATGCCGAAGCACGGTAGAGGCATTGGAGAAAACCGTACGGGCGGTGTGCGATGGCGCGGCAGCTGTGTTTTTTGCCTTCTGACCATAAAATGTGGATAATCAGTTTAAACAACCTCTCGCAACTGCCTGACGAAACTCTCGGAGGCTTGTGCACGCTGCCGCGCCATCGCACACTGCCCTACGGTTTTTTCCGATGCCTCCACCGTGCTTCGGTACAGACGACGCTTGCCAACATTAAAATGGCTACGCTCTCACTGTTGTCAGACCACCAACCAATTTCGCATAAGGTCTTTGCAGAAAAGTTAAAACCGAACCATTTCTTTTTTTTCCCGTTCCTGTAGGTGGTGGCCGTGGATCCAGACATGGGCGAGAACGGCCGTGTGGTATTCTTCAAGCAGAACGACACTCTCAGCTACAGCGTTCCATTCGGAGTACACCCGTTCAACGGATCAGTGTACGTGCTCGATCGCTTCAAAGACATTCCTGTCAAGCCGGACCGCTACACTTTCTTTGTCGTCGCATCCGATGCCGCCAGAAGTGAGCACGAGCGAAGGTAAGCTTCACGATACATTTTTTCTCATCCGCCACGGTTTCTACAGTACCGAGCTACGCCACTGGCGCAGTGCATGGCGACATGAGCTTTGACCAACGTTACTAAAACACTCAGTTGGGAAACTCCCACAGAGACAGCTTTGAAAAAGTGGCCCCAATCTGTCTCCGAGCACCGAGCTAATGACAACACAACGCCACCATTTCTCCCGCAGCGGCCACTCGGGAACTGCACGTGACTTTTATTTTGGCTTTAATAACAGATAGAGCGGAAGAGGTTACAGGGGTGCCACCCCCGTCTCCCCGGCGGTCGCGCCGCGTCAAACTACGGAAGTTAAAATGCACCTAGGTCGGGACGCGCTACCTAAAAGCCCCGCTGAGGCATAGTTGTATAAAAACAATATTAATTGTGCCGCAAAACCCTGCAAACTAAAGGTTTTAAAAAAATAACACGCCCCTCTTTTTGTACTAAACTCCAATAAATTTCATACAAAAAGAGTCTTTTCCGTTTGTTTTTACGCAAAAAGAGGCTTTCAAAAAGCTCAAGGTGACCACAGTACAGACAAATGATAAAGAGTGGCGCTGTTGTCGCATTTAGCTCGGTCTCGGTGGACGCCAGCGGCCCAGGTTTCGACGGCGAGTTTCCTAACTGAGTGTTTTAGTAACGTTGGCTTTGACCGATGTCCTCAAAGTGGTGGCACAGGTGTCTCGCGCTACATCGCTTATAAAAGGGAGGCATCGCAGCTTGTACTTATCATTGAGGAAAGACATATTAAGCCTCATCCTGAAGAAGAAAAAAAAAAAACAGTAGAAATCTGCAATAAAAATTTGATTGCAAAAAAAAAAAAATACAAGCGTTAAAAAATATCTTTGAGTGCATGCTATGGCCGAAAAACAATATCCAATCTGAAAAGTTATGAACAACGCCATTAGACTCAAGTACGCAAGCAAAGCTCTCTATTCTGCTATATTTAACCTTGCATGAATCCCAGCGCACACTTGGAATCCTGCATAAACACTTCACAGAATAGAGTATTTCAATATACTTTAAACGTAGTTCTGGTACATATCGCATCATTACAATTGAGAAACAGCTCACCCATAAAGTCACGTTTAGTGGATGCGTCCTGATCAATTTTTCGTATTACAAATTGCTTCCATGAACACACTATGCAGTTCAGGTCCGAATCGGAGTCTCAATATGTACAAAAAGCTATGGGAAAGCACAATAGGAGATGCCTGTTCAATATTTTTTTTTTTATATATATAAATGTTTGCGAGCGGCTATAAGTTCTAGTTTTAATTACATTACCTTAATTGTCACATGGGACACCGTAACACGTAGGAACCGTAAAGCCGATAGAGAGGTCATTATATTACTACCGAGCACCCTGAAAGTTTACCCCAGTTTTGCAGGACTATCGGGCCGGCAGATCGGCCCGTACTAATCCAATTATTACTGTTCGCCGTTTGTTTTAACCTCCCCGCTCCTCCCGGACCACCGTGTCCAGCCCGAAGTTTTGGAGCGCTTGCAGCCCGGCGGCAAACAGATGTTTACAATTCAGGTAGCACGACACCGTTCTGCGTGTAGTACTATCAAATGTATGTTTGCTTACTGAACATTAAAAAGAATAATACACCGCATTTATAATGGAAAATTAAGACCGGTAACAGCAGCGTATGCTATTGTACCGTTACAAAACGAATTGGACAGTTCCATTAGATTATCAGTTTTTGAATTCAATTACTTATTGTATTATAATTACTGTTCTTATTCTTTCTGTACCTACCTGCCTCTTCTCATCTTTGTGCCTGTAGTTTTTCGCGTGCACCTTTTTTTCTCGTATTGTTCAATGCTTGTCAAGTGCATATTCATATTTCACTTTCATACTTTCATTTTTCCAAATTTTCTAGGCTTGCGTGTCAACAGCTTCTTCTTAAGTATCCGTAGAGTCTCCGTGTACCTCGTCCTATCATGAAAGAACCTCCACGTAAAGAAAGCCTTGCCGCTGTAGAAGATACTAAAGAAAGCACCAAGGCCCCAGAAACAATTTAACGTCTCTGTCTGTCTCCTGACCTCTTTAGTCAACAAGAAGAGCCCTCACCAACTACAGTAGGATCCCTAGCGCGCAGAGACAAAGAGCGAATGCGGGTATTGCATTCCAGACGTTCCAGACATTGCTGCCTCAGGACCACAGCGCCCGCCGTCTGTCAGTAAGAGAACGGTTGTATATTCGACCTGCCCATAATGATTACAGCGGCTAACGCTCAAACTGTTAGTATAGAGGGAGTTTTATTACACCATTGGTATGGACTCTGCCCGCTTGTATAGGCAGCAGTGATTCAAAGAGTTCAACCATCGAATACGCTCGCATCTTTAGAAAGAGCATCGATGACGCAAAAAAAAAAAACAAAAAAAAAAAACAACTCAGTCGTATGCGTGAGGAATTTCTTGTTACTAGTTTTCTTTCCTACTGTCACCGGTCTACCAATATAAGAACCGTAACGGTATTTAGCTGCGTCGTCATCTTTGATTCTTAGTCACTCACAGCTTACGAAACACGGGGCGTGGCGAGTCTGGAGCATGTTATCAACTTCCCGCAGCTAATGAGTGTACGGGATTAGCCAATAAGCAAGCTGAATAATAGTAACCCACACCTTGTAGTTCTTAATCTGTCATCAACTATATATGAAATTGCGAAATGATCTAATTTTTCTTACATATGGCGTGAGAAATCAATAAGATCTAATTTTACCTCGAGGATATCACTGTTTATACCTTTTAACACACTGCTAGCGGTTGTTATCGCCACTAGCGCATCAAGTTTTGTTCTGATTGAGAACAAGTGATTTGTTTCATGCACACCCAAAGCCTGGATTGAAAATGCCGCCTATGCTTCAGACTAAAAAATAAAAAAAAAATGTTCTGCAAAAGCTTTAGCTATATAGGGACAACCTCCGCAAGACAAGTGTGACGATGAGTCGTGCCTCTAACCGACGTCACAATACGCGTACTTTATACGGTACACACCCGCTATTCGAATTCCAGGTTTTTCCGATCTGTATTAACCGCGCAAACCGAGTCCATATTTGGATTCCACCCGAAGCGGACTCCGTCCTTCGTCCCTCTCACGTCTTCTCAGCAGTCGCCAACTCTCCCACCACCCGATGTGTGTTGTTGTTGTCCACCAATGCCTGATTGGCTTCACTGCGGCATCTGGTCTTCCCGCGCGGATTCTGCTTTTTCTTTGTTCTTTCTTGTCACCTTTCCTTGTTTTTTCTTGCTTTGGCGCCTGTCTTCTTTGGAAGACTCCGTCTTCCGGAACTTGGTGTCCGCGACAGGGCATCCGGACGCGGATGGAGCGACGCGGACATGCGCGTCTCTCGATATATCTCGCTGCTATATGCCACCGTGGCTCGGAAGTTCCTTCGACTCCTTCAACGTGTCTCGTTCGTCTTCAGAGTCACTGACAGCAGCAGCTATGGCTCGTTCGACCTCTTCCTTCGATGTGTGTATTTCCCTGCTTTAGTGCCTGTGTGCGCGTTGCCATTTTCTTTGCTTCGACGGACACAGAGATAGGACTTGGAAAGACGGCCTGATGTTCATGAACGTACATGAAAATGGAAGGACCGATAACACTCCAGAAAGAAGCTCCAGTGGTATATCTAGTTGCTGAACTTTAACGTGTCTGCACGGAGTATAGAATGCACTGCCTTTGTGGTGGGTGTATAGTGATCGCTTATCGTTTATTGGTACAAGGTGCGACCGTAACCATGGAGTGACTTAAAACGTAGACGAAATTGTAGACCGAGAGAAACATGATTTTTCTAGACGAGAGATAGCTAAAATTTATGGTGCCTTAACATGCCATCGGGTCACTACAAAGTAGAATGTGCACAATCATGTCACATTTATCCGGTCTCGTTGCACTTTAACATAGCCGCGCGAATTGCAATTTATTGGATAAAACGACAAAGACTAAAATTGTGCGAGTTTTTTTTTTCTCCTTGAGGAATAAACATCCGTATAATCATTGTGATTGGGTATATATACCTTAGATTGCATTATCGTAACATGCCACGTTCGGGAGTGCGTGCAAGGGAATGCTGCGCGTTTGCGGGTGACGTCACCAGCCCAGCAAACACGGCAGCATTTTCGAATAGGGCGGATCCGAGGGTCCCGCATATAAATCGACTTATCCACGAAACAATCGAGCCATTTTCAAAACAAATTTAAAAGCCTTATATTAACATAAAATGGGTCATACCAGCATAGGTCTCGTATTCTATTTATGCCGTGTCCTTACCATTTTGAAGCAGGAATATGTCATATATGTTTTCAATTCCATTGTTCGCAGTGATCTCGTTAATCTTTCCTACCCAAAATGTACAAAGTCCCGTCCATTTCTTTGGCTCGACAAAAATATGATTTCATTTCACGCACTGTTTTTTTTTATTAACATCAAGATAGAATTTTTAGATGTTATCATGTTGTTTCCATAGTTAGGAACCACATACGAGTGAAATTGCAGCTGCATGTTGTTGAGGTTATTTACTTTGCTCACCGAAAACCGGTCGCGTCTCAACGGAGATACCATCGTACAAAGAAAAAAGGTTTCTCATTTCCGAAGGCACATATGCCAGTGCCTAAGAAATAACGCTATGCAAAGGCAGGAGTCGTTTGTTTATGCTTTCCGAATTCTATTTCACCAAGTGCAAGCTGTATACACACATACGAATAAGGAGCTTGAGTGCTACGGCACAACGGGCACACAGAAAAATTACTTTAGGAATTGCCATACCGCTAGCATACCACTCTACTACCAACCAACCCAAACACGGAGAGGCGTCCGATGAACGAAAATTTTCTTCGCAGAACCGCCGTGGCCGTGGTGCACGTCAACGTGACTGACGTCAACAACAACGTTCCGGAGTTCGTGGGGGCCCCCTACGAAGCCCAGGTCGGGGAGTCATTGCCGGCGGGAGCGCTTGTCACTCAAGTCTCTGTAAGTATACATACAGACAGCCACGCCGAACCCTTCTGGGGTGTTATCCGGTTAAAGCGGCCCCACACGATCGCCTAATGTCCACTTTTTGTCTTCTGACGAACAGGCGAAAGACCTGGACGCCAACACAGCGCTCACCTACTCAATCATCGCTGGAAATGACGACGAAACCTTTCACATGAACCCGTTTACGTGAGTGGCATTCCCAAGATGACCTCTCGTGCTCGCGGTGTAACAAGCTCGACGGCAGCCCGGCATTGCGGGTGGGCGTTGAGAGCGCGTCTACTGCGTTCATCCCTAAGCTGACAGTGCGATGCAAGCTATACGTGCTCGTTGGACTAGTTGTACGTCTAACTTTTTGAACGTGATCACAACCAGCCCATACCCCCGCGCTGAGAGCGGGATCAGGCGAAGAAATGGATGCTGTCGTTTGATCCGGAGAGAGCGTAGCTCGCGCCACACTGTCAGCTAAGGGGTGAGCACAGTATAGTTCCATCAAGTGGTCTGTCAAAAACAAACTGGTCGTACAAGTAGCTTTCGTGTCGTTGTTGTTCTTGTCGGGAGACGGCACGCTTTGTGTTTAGGAAGAGACCATTCCAAACATAGCCTTATGCGCCCTGCCATCTTTGTTTCCTGGGCCGTAGAACGCTTTCCGAGTACGCGCAGAAGCTCTAAGCTGGAGAATATCAGACGCTGCGCACGCGTCCACAGCCCAGTGACTCGGCATATTTTTGCCGAAATGGTAAGCTCCGGAAACGTGTGCATGAGTTGACTCAGGCTGAAAACGGACGATGATGTATACAGGCCACCTCGTGTCGTTGCTGACGGTCTTCTCAACTTGGGGAGACGTGGGAAAAGTTGACTATAGTCCATTGCAACTCAAGAAGGTAGGGCGAGGGAAAGGAAGGCTGGGGAGCAGGAAGCAGGTGAAACCCTAAAAAAGACGAGGAGGTTTCCTCTTCTCTTCTCCAGCGTTCCGTCTACTTCCTCTTCCCCATCCTTCCTTTCCCCTGCCCTACCTTCTTGAGTTGCAACTGACTATAAAGAAAGTCACGAGAGGCCTCCTTCTTTGAAACGGGGGTGGTTTTTCATAGTCTCTTACACAGTCTCCGGTGCATATTGGGATTTCCTCGCAGAGTAAAACCATGGGGCGAATCGGCCTTTTTTTTCGAACACGTCGCGAAACCGGGCCCCTTGTGTAACTAGACATATGCGGCGCAGCGGCTCATTTTCTCACGCCACACGTTCCCCTAGTTTACGTGGTAAAAAAGAAAGGGGGGGGGGGGGGGGGCGCCGAAGCTTGAGTAAACTGCAGCCTGTGTGTTTCGTGTACGCGGATGCCGGCTCGGAAGATGGGCCGGCTCGGACCCATCTTCGCCTGTGCTTTTACGCGTGATTATTCCCGGGTACCGATCATGTTAAGAGTATAAGCACGCGACGTCCCAGAGAAAGACTGATAATTAAATTTTAAGCTTAAATACGTTTTATTACTTCATTTTTATGAGAGGACCGACGTGGTACTCAGACTAAATTGAGCTTAATTAAACTTTCGGAAGCTTGGTTCAGATAATACGCAATAATTAAAAACCTGTTAACAGGTCATCGACGCCTCACTCGACGAGTCGGCAACAGGTATCGCAATACGAATACGTTAAGAGAGGTCGATGGCGATTTGCATATCGTTTTACATTTGACAATTCGTAGAGGCTTGCTCGTTTCATTTCGCACTTTTTGAGCGATTCACGTTTATCATTGTTTAAAGGGCCATGAAATTATCCTTCAACGTCTTCCTTCTTAAGTGTCCTCCTCAGCTTAAAAGCGGCATAAGAAATCACGTGGTCGTGACGTAGTATTTCACCAAATGCGATGATTCCAAGCTTCCCCTATGTTTTTTAAGCCTACCATGAACCTTGCCATTCGCAAGTGATGATAAGTGCCAGTACGGCACTGATTGGCCACGAACACGAATAAATTCATATATAGATTGATTGTCGACGTGGGCATACGTCCTAGTGCCGGAGTGCTCGTCTCCAATTTGTGAGCTGGGTTCGGCTGACGTGCTTTCGGTACCGCAAATGTATCACATTGAAAAGGAGGAGAACTTTGGAAGGAAAGGATCTATGAAATAGTCCGCTATATTTTCAAATTCTTGTGCCTGAAAGCAGGTTTCTGACTTTCCATCCTCTTTCAATTGGCCCATTAAACGGTAGGCGATTAGTAAAATCTTAATATAAAATCATTTATCCTAACCCAATGTTTATGTTATGGCCTTTCCAATTCGCTAAAGTAGGAATTTTACCGCCAACAAGGAAACTCCAAAGGGGAACTACACATGCAGAATATTTTCGGCAACATCGGGTGTACCTTAGAACTATGTTCTAAGAATCAGAAAATAAAATGCGGGTATTTTACCCTAAAGAGTTCACGGAGAAAATGAACATGACAAACTGAGTCCCCCACTCGCCAGGCTTAATATCTACACATTAAACCAGCCCGCTTAATCCTTGCTTAAAAAAAAAAAAAGAAAAAAAAACAAAAAAACTGCGAGTGAAGTTTGCAGCGTTTTTTAAGTACAAATGTGTTCATAAGAGCATCCTTGTCATTTGACTGAGCAAATGCGATCGTTGTTGTTTACGAGAAAACGTGCTCGTAAGAGCGTATGAGCTATGCAGGCGCTATCAGGTTAAAACGAATGTGGAAACATCTTCAAGAAATGTTAGCAGTTAGCCTGCTCGGTCATTCGCTCGTAAAGATGTCGCATTCGGGTAAGGGAATAGGGAAAAAAATGTTAGAGATAAAAAGGCTGACTGACGTGGAGAAATATTTTTATATGGTCGGTACCGACGTGTCCATTTATTTTCGTGTCTATAACAGATGACGCCTGCTCGATCACATGAGTTTTATAATGCAAGGCTAAAAACCCGTAAAGATACTTCGGCCCCTTAAAAAAATGTTCACTCCCGTTTCCCAAATTTTTTCTCTTCGATTTTATCTTTTGCTGGGGAGTGTGCGCCATCATGATGAAACTGACAACAACGAAAAATAAAAAAAGACTGTATGTTTTCGATTATTAGCCGGCATTCAAAGCTTGTAACATCGAAAAGAAACAATTTCTCAGGGCTGGTTGTACTTTTATCCTCCAGGGGAGTTATCACCAGTGGGACCGTATTGGATTTTGAGAAGAAGCAGTCCTACGATCTCCTCGTTCAAGTCTCTGATGGCTTCAATGTGAGTCCCCTACCGAGAATATATATTTGATTGACAAGAAGAAGAAAACTTCTCCGGTGTCCGGTGCCTATTTCTTACTTCATTCTGCATAATAAATGGAGTTCTATTTTACTAAAGTGAATTGGCATTTGTAGGGGAACTTTTTAGCGTGTTTTCTTTTTTGCCACCTCATTGCATAAAAAAATCACAGTTTCAACAAAAAATTAAAACAGCAAAAGTGCAGCTTTATTAACATTGGAAATACTTTTAATGGGCTCTTTTTTTATTGCATATCAAAAACGAACATGGATCCGACATTTTTACATGCTTTTGAATAGCTACCCGTATTCAGATTGCCACTTCAAAATGAAAGCCATATCTGGCGTCGTTTTTCTTAACGTAGCAGAAAAATCACACACAAAAGAAACGAGCCCGCTAATTTTATGGATTCTCAGTCCAAACTTTACCAAACCCAGAAGGCCATAATTAAATTTTCCCTCACAATGTTCGAAGGTGTGCAATCACAGCTCTGTGTTCGATTATACCTAGAAAACCGAGTCAAAACAATACGCGTAAACTGGAACAGCAATTCTAACGCAATGCACTGAATAAAAAATAAATAAAGGTTCATAAAAATACGTTTTAAGAAACTGGCAAGCAGCTATGCTTCAAAATCCAGTATGTCTACTGTGGATGAAAAACGCTTTGTTTAAGTGCCATTCTGGCGACTGTGAAGAATCCTTAGCAAGGATTCACAGTCAGATGATCTACACACGTCTGTATAGGTGAACAAATCGGAATATATCATTCTCTCGAAAGGTCGACAACGCACGTTTCCGCGGTCACGTACCAAACTCTTAACATTGGAGTGCTCCGTAAACACGCACCCTTTCGTATGGAGGATGGCGTCACGCACGTGACGCACGCCGCAATGGACGATTCGCTTTCTTTACCCTCTTTGTTTTGCCTTGCAGACGGCCGTCTCTCCGCTCACAGTGCACGTCGTGGACATCAACGATCAGCAGCCCGTGTTCACGCACAACTATTACAATTTCTCGGTCGTCGAGGAAATGACCGAGAACGTGACTGTCGGAACCATCAGGGTAAGGCGGAATAAACACTGCACACCCACCGTCCCGCTGCTTCTTTGCTTGCCTGAACGTCGTTCTTATGGCTGCGTCTAGGAGTTGGGCGGAATGTTTCTTGCTCGCAATGCGGCGCCCAACGTGGAGCACGATTGGGTTTGATTTCACACAAGGATGGGTGTCGATTTTTTCTGAGGAAAATAAAACAGCGACCAATCTTTCTCTATTGCGATGTTATGTTTACCTTTTTTTTCAAAGCCGCATTGATAGAACTATAAATAAATAAAAATCTAAAATAAAGTACACAATTTTTGTAAAATGTAAATTATTTTCCTGCGCGTTACGGCAAACTAAAGCTATTTATTATTTCAGCATGAGTCTTGGTTCACTGTGATTCCTCATTCTAAAAGTGTGACGGCATACTCTCCTGGCTTAAAAGCGAAACGGCTGCTTCGATGTTCGGCTGCGGATGATTGTATCAGCAGTTGGCAATGACGGAGTACCAAAGCGGCCTTAGCCCACGTCACGTAGAATAAGCACGGTCTGTGAGCTACCTCCTCTACCTCCACGTAGCATCATCGCTCTAGCATGGCGTCAACCCCTCCCTTGGGCCCGAGCCCTACGCATAATGTCTTTCGACGCATTCATGGGACACGAAGCTTATCCGAAGGCTGTCCATGCATTCGTGCGCAATCTGCGTCTGCGCTCGTGTCGCACCATGATGACGTCAGAATGCTAGGGCACGGTCTTTGATTATTCTAGGTTGCGTTGCCTCAGATGAATGCGCGTCGCCACGTCTCTGAACGCTTATCACACGCCCGATGCCTAATTCCGTCTTCATTATTTCTATTCCCACTCCGCAGGCCATCGATAGAGACTCAGGTCGGAACGCAGCCATTCGGTATACCATCTTGGGCGACCACGCCAACAACGCGCTCCTGGTGGACGAGGGAGGCAACATCGTGACCAAGAGGAGTCTCGACCGCGAGCGCGAGTCAAAACTGGAGTTTCTCGTAATCGCCTTCGACGGTGGCATCCCGCAGCTTAGTGGAACCACCACGGTCGCGGTCCAGGTGGAAGACATCAACGACAATCCGCCCTACTTCGAAGGGGACACGTTCTTCGTCAACGTGCCGGAGGAGAAGGACCCGCCGCTGGAGGTCTTCACGCTTCAGGTACTAATAGCTACGACTTTTTTCTATTCTGGTCTGTGCTAGGAGAAGATTGGGAGGTATAGCTGGAGTCTGCTTATTGAAGACTCCAGTATTCATTGTCGTGGCAAAACCGATATCCAATTTTCATTACATTCTCATGTTGAGCGAAAAACTACTAAATCAGTCATTTTCAGAAAGACTTTGAACGCGTGAGAAGCGTAGTAGTGCACCAAAGTTACCGCTCGTGGAGCAGGTACAAGGCTGGGGCTAGATAAGAGGCAGAAAAATTGCGCGGGCGCCTTATCGCAACCGCTAGCTTTGTACGTGCTCCACGAGTGCTAACTTTAGTGCACTACTACGCTTCTCACGCGCTCAAAGTCTGTCTGAAAATAACTGATTTAGGGGTTTTCGATGACGCCCAGCAAGTTTCTATTTGAAACTATATGTCTATTTTCATTAATTAAAAAGTTCATGAACGAATTTTAACTTATTAGCCGACTGATCGTTACGATTAGCCTCCTATATTATGTCCCCCTGGCCGTATAACTCACCTGCGCAGACCGCATTAATCTAGCGTTCATGGTTTTCGAAAAAAAATTATGTTAAGCTTAAAAAAAACCTGTATATAAACGCAAATATGCAGATGAATGAACCGTACTTAACCCAATGAATGAAAGGATCAAAGTTTTCAGGAACCCGCCGAAAGCCAAAACAACGGCGGAGCCAGGATCCTGGCTCTGCCGTTATTTTGGCTTTCGGCGGGTTCCTGAAAACTTTGATCCTTTCATTCATTGGGTTAAGTACGGTTCATTCATCTGCATATGTTCGTTTACATCCTCCTCGGAGACCACGTACGATGGTGTGAAGTGCTCGAGTTGTGTCTATATATATATTACCAATAACGTTAATATTATGTGAACACTGTTAGGTTCGCGTTTTTAAACTTCAATTATTTTTACGAAAGACACCACGGAGAGCACTTCTTCCGACTTTCAACACACGATGAATCGCCGACGCTCGCAAACGGAAGGTTGTGATGCTGCGCGCACGGTTTTTGAACGATGATGCGTAGAGTACTTCGGGCGCAACCGCTTCGCAGCCGTTCGAAGGGAAAAGGATTCGCGACGGCGAAGTAGCGTCTTGCATCTTCAGCAAGCTAACGGTTCGTGTTTCCCGCTAAATTTAGCAGGGAAACATGAACAAAATTAGTTTCATTGCTTGATTTAGCGGGAAATTCGACCTCACGTGACATAAGTAACAATTCAATTTCCCGCTAAATTTAGCGAGGTGGTTACACCGATGCCGACGGCGACGCCGACACCGCTTCACGCGGAAAAGGGCGCCTAAAAGCTGCGATCTAAAATCCATTAATTGATTAACTCGCTTTCCGACCTTATGCACTTCGTCATATTGTCACACGTCAAACATACGACCAAATTTCGTTTGTCTTTCAATCTTCAAAATGAGCAATTGATTAATTGGTCCAAGCATTTGGAATAACTTCACTTTAAGGATGTTAACAATAGTTAACCAATTAGATGAAACTCATGCAATATAGGTAAATCAACTAGTGTCTTCACGAGTAGATATAACTTTTTGCTTGTACGACCGAAACAGGCCCTAACATCACTATCAGAGGATATATTTTACCCATATATGTCGTGAACGGGCTATATAAGCAGTATTTGAACCTTTATACAGCGACATATGGCCGTATTTGCACGCGTATATTGCGATATATGGCAGTATTTGCCGACTTGTTTGGAGATATGTGGCCATATCTGCTCCAATATATGGTGTTATATTTCCATATTTGACCCCTCATATTATCATATATGGCCATACATAAAATATATCAGGGTCATATCTGACATTTTCGTAAGGGAACGTGAATTTGTACTTTATCGAGAAATATTAGGACATCCAAGCGATCTATGTTCGAGTCGGGGTTGCATTAAAAGACAAAGAACTACGGGGTTTGTAGACGTTTTTATTAATATTAGAAACCGAGGTCCTAACTTCTGGACGCTACCGACGACGCAGTGCTTCTCTGTAGATATATTGAATGGTTCAAGAGCTAAAGTTTTCACTTACTAATTGTTGTAACACGCGAGTGCTGACGTACGAAACAACATGGAACTAGAAATGTGCGAAGAGTGGCTCGCTCGAATCGAATAGCGCAGTGTCAGTCATAACCTTCACAGTGTTAAAAAACACCGCGTTAAAGAATGCACAACAGACCAGCTGTCTTTACAATGTTCAAGCTAGAGATGACGCTGCGTTATTCGATTGAAAGCAACAATCGCACGCCATCACGTGAAACTTAAGTCGTGAAAAAGAATGGCAGGGTGATCTGGGATTATGTCTTAACATGGCATAGTCAAAATGCACTAATAAAATGAAAAAGAGATGTATAATTCTTCCTTTCGGCACGTTCATAACAAGTTCCCTGATTCGGCTTTCCGCCATGGGCCGCTGTTTGTGATGATTATCTTAGTGAGTCTGAACTTGAAGCAAAAACCTTAATAGATTTAAACCTGGCGAAAAGGTGACTAAAGCGAGTTCTCGTGCAAATGAAATGGAAAAGGAACAATTAATGTTACACCGCTAGTAACGATCCCTACAGCTGCGTACCAGGCAATCGTTATATCATATGCGTAATAATCGTTAGCTCTTGGGTGTAATTCCCAAAATGCATAATAGCAGTATGTGCAAGTCGTTTAAAGAAGATTTTTGTCGAAATATAGGCAGAAATATATGGAGGAATACAGATTGCGATCTCCCTATAAACGTTTTGGACTTAGCGTGCGTAAAGAACAATGGTCAGAAAGTTCAGAGCGAAACTATAGCATATTAAAAAACGAGAAAAAAAAAATGACCAGAGAACTGGAGTGCGAGTTGAACCCAACGAAAGCCCGCGCACCGAGAACTGTTCATCCGGCAGCGACGCCCTCTCGTTCTTTTGCTAGCCTAGAGAAATATGTGGGTTCACAAAGACTCTGAGGCCGCAAAAACGCGAAGTCTTAAACAACGGAGAGCCAACATCCACCAAACTGTTCTGAGCGAGCGCATTTATCATACGCGAGGCTTCATATAGCACTTGGAACGCCCAAGACGAAAGAGCTTTAGGCTTCGCTCCGTCAACGCAAAGGGTTTTCTTCAACGTGAACTGTTTCTTTGCTTCGTCCGTGTGGTAGTGCACGCACCTGAACGAAGGAACGTGTATATTTGTAAGCAAAATAAAATTGTTTTCGTAACCTAACTCCTAATTGGACGGCCTTCTCCCATTTCTTTTTCTCGCTGTCATTGCGACGAAGGGAATAAAACTCCGCTCGTTAATGCTGTCGGAAGTTTCGCAAGTTCGCCCGAAACACCCAACTCAAGCAAAAGAAAACAAAAACAATTCGTGTTCGAGGGATGATAACCTCGGAGGCACCTCGTTGCATCGCGGTGCGACTATATACGCGAACCGAACAAGCTCTATCGATTGCTACGAACTCTTTCTCCAGAACCCTGGGGGTTATATCGGTATCGGAGTCTCTCCAGTTTGGAAATTGGAATGAAAATGTAGTACTAAACTTGGACGTTATTTCTAGTGCGCGCCGAGAAAGAAAATAAAGGCTTTCCTTGAAAGTGGCGGCAATTCGATGCTTAAATTGGTTATAGAAAGAATAAAAAGAAAAATAAAGTTATAGCCGGAACGAAGCGGCTCTTTTATTTGTTGCTTTTTAGATGTTGCGATTTTGCTACTGCGAGGTGTGGCCGAACTATCGCTGCTTCGGGCGGTGCAGATAAGAAGCGTATTACAAAAAATTAGAATCCACTCGAACATTCGGTCTCTAAAAAACTCGCACGCTGGAGTTTCTGGAATATAAAATACATTTAAAAGTATCGCCTGATACGCTTAATGAGATTGCCGGAGGGTTTTCTTTAGAGTTGCTATAGATGGGTCGACTGATATTAATGCAGATGCCTACAAGGCTTTTTTTTTTTGGTACTCATAGGGTAACAAATGCGTCTTACTCCTGCGTATAGAACCTAATATTAAATCGAAGATTAATATTGACTGATATACAATCAGATATTAGCAGCTAAGAACCCCGAAGAACGAATAAGAAAGCAAGAGGCGTTAACATTATCAGCAACGCCCTGCGTTTTTTAGGTTGTCAGTGACTACAATACTTCAGTTACTTGTCTGCAAACACGCGCACTTGCTCTAAGGATCTCTGTGTGCAGTACGCGTCCACTGAGACGTTTTTTTCGAAGAGCTTATACCATCCGCGAATGATCCATATCACAGGCTGTTTCACTGTCTTAACTTTTTTTTTACATTGGAATCATAGGGTAATGTACTGTAGACATTGCATCATTATCACTTTTTTTCTCTCCAATTAACGTCGAACATAGATCATTTCTAATGCCGAAAACTGGTCAGCTGGTATTGGGGTTCAAACTGTTATGTTTGGCACATAGAACGATATATTGACTATTTGTGTTACAAGAAAGGCTATTCGTCACACTCGACATTTTAGCAAAACAAAAGCAGTAGTTGTAGCCACGCCGTTTCGACGAAGTAGACCTTATAATAACGTTTTAAAGACGGCGTAAAACACGGCGCAGAAAAGCTCGGAAGCGTTTCTGTAAGATATTGTCCACTTCGAATGTAGCTTTCGATTATCGATAGGGTTCCGAGCGTCCAACCATAACCAAGAACAACAAAAAATAATATAGAAATAACTTGGCAATACATTTTTTGACAATTCTCATTTTTATGTTTACAAAAAAAAAAAAGAAGAAAAAAAACGAAAAAAAAAACATTGATAGTTTAGATTGTGATGACCGAACTGGACATTTCACATTAGTCTCTGTCCGGTTCTGCAATTCTGAAGAGTGGGCAATACTTTGTTTTCTTATATTTTCTTCTAATATTTTACTATTAACGAAAGGCATTTATTGGTATTTATTGTCAACGTCCGTTCAAGAGAACTGATCAATGCTTTTGTATATGTGACTTATGAAAG